AGCAGTTTCTTCCCCTCTGAACGTTCCTCCGCGTTCCCTTTCGGCTCCGAGCTCTTGGACATGATCCAGTCGATGGAGAAAGCCAGCGTTTTGGGAGCCGCGGACGGCGCAGTCCTCCCGCAGGACACCACCGTGTCTAAAGAGGCTGAACTTGCCATTTTGTTGCCGCTGTAGTAGTTTCGCTTTGCAGCCGAACAGAACTTGGTGTGAGCAACTCCGTGTATAGTCCAGCTGCCCCGCGTCTTTTCACTCCCCTGAGCTCCCAGCAGAAAAGACAGGCGGACACATCAGTTTAATAAGCACCTTGCTGTCACAGTGTCACGCATTTGCATTCAAATGGCCCCCGCCTCGCAACAATAGCATCCAGGGGTGATGGATTAATGCTCATTAACTAGCACACACAAAATTAACAGACATTACAGGGCTCGTTAAGGAGAAGAAGAAGAGGAGGAGGAGGAAACAGAGGGCACGAAATGTTGTAGCCGGAGCTCCTGGACACCGAGTTAAGCCAAAGTTACGTCTGTGTTGTACTTTACCTTCTTATTGTTCAGATGGGAGTGGAGAAACCAGCCGACTGCTCTCTGTCAGACCTTGGCAGCGCCCGCCCCTCATCAGTGCAGATCACTGTCTCTTGACATAATCGAGCACCCAAGCACCTAACTGGGTGACAGGGAGACAAATCTATAGAGGGGATGGCACGTAAATATGAAACCATTCCATCAGTAAAACTGCTGCACAATTGTGTTTTCATCATTAATCGCGCTTTGGAGGAGCTGAGTGAGTCTCCTGCTTTCATTTGGTTAACAACACAGTAATCTTTTTTTTTTTTTCTCGGAGAGAGCTGCTAATCCTCGGAGATGGGATCCGTCTTTTTCCTCGCCGGCTTATAAACTTACTATTTGTATAAATTCGAGGACGTCCAATTTCCACCTGTTTAAGAGCACAGACTCCCTTTGGATCCTATTAAACGTTGTTCCTCCTTCCCCCTATTCAAAAGAAGCAATTTTCCAGAGCGATTCAGGGCTCAGCGCTGCGTGGGGGGGTGGTGGGGAGAACACAAGCTCTTTTACTTTTAGCTACTAAAGCACTGCGTGAACTGGTTTTGTGTTTTTTTCTTCCTGAAATAGAGGGACGGATTAAAGACGGAGAGAGGAAAAAGAAAAGACTTAGCTTGGTCAGGGGTATACACGGACAAATGAAAAGAGAGGCCTTTTCTCTAAAGAGGCGTACAAGAAGTTTGCTGGAATCCACGGTGTTGTGTGGGAGTTACAATGGGCAGCAGAGTCTCATCTATCCGCTACAAGGGCTGTGTTGAATTTATGTGTTTGCAGGCCAATTTACCTGAGGGACTCCCAACAACTGAGTGGGAGAGAGGGGAGTTCATAAAACATGCGGAGGATCAAAAGAGTGTGCAATATGGACGAAATGAATAGTCTTTTATTTATCACAGCGTTTGCTCAGTGCGTGTGATGACGAGGCTGTAATGTATTTATTTAACTTGGCAGAACCTTTAAACTTACACAAGAAGAAGAAAGTGAAACGTTTAAGATAATAATGTTATTTCCGAGCCTGAAATGTGACATGATTGTCATATGAATGGGAAATCACCGGTAACACTTAATACCCTCAATGTATTTAGAAAAGTAGTCGAGTATAATTTGTATATAACTTCTTCGAAAAGTTACAACACACCTTTTGGTAACTGGCGTGCGTCTTTGAGAGCGCCAAAAAACCTTTTTAGGCTAGAATTTATTCTGCATTTATTCTGTGCGACACTTACAAATATATTTACTCTATAATGTAATTTTCTGTCACTTGGTATTCTTGTTCGAGTCTCCAGACATTTGAGTCAAAAAGTAGTTTTAGGTGATGAAGTCGCATCACGAAGCGCTGTTCAGGAACGTTAAACAAATGGATGTGATAATGTTTTTATGGTGACATCCTCAGGCAGCACAGCCTCTGCTAACTATAATAACAGTGCAAATTCTAAAGTAATACTTAACTAATGTTAGCAAATTCACATTGCTTATTATTAACAGACCAGTGCCACTTTCTCTCAAGCATGAACTGATGCTCGATCATTTTAGCTTCAGACGCTTTCATTCTCATAAAAACAGAAAGCTATTTTTATTCATCAAACTGACATCGACTCGTTACAGCATCATCAAATCTTGCATCTCTAAATGAAGGACAACTTATAGGATTTGTCCTCTGTTTGTAAGTGTGAGCAGGCCTTCATTTAAAGAATTGTAAAAACACTTAAATCAAGACTTTTACACTGGACAGTTAATTTTGAATTAAGAGCATTTATGTTGTACAGAAAAATTCTGTATCATTAGGTTGAAATGTATTTTGGATTTGCCATCTTCTAAAGAATCTGCTGTTTTGTGTTTTCACTGAGGCCTTTAAACCTTCAAACAGAGTCACAACATCAATACTCACATATTTTCATTATTGTCGGGTCTGTACCTTAGAATATGAAGCACCTTGAGGCAATTGTTGTTGTGATATAAATAACATTTAACAGAATTTGTTTTATGTTAATGGACTCCATAAGATATTAGTGGCTGATGTTGACCACTTTTTATAACCCATTATAGAAAGTCTGAATGCCAAAAACCCATGTGCTTATTACAAAACATATACTGAAATGTGAGATAAAATGTTGAAGTTTTTATCTGAAATATGTTTTTTGTTCTAAAGCTCTTTAGAAAACACTAAATACTCAGGGAGGGCTGCTTTATTTTGTAGTAGTTGTTTAATGAAAGTTTTATAAAAGACAATGATACAATTGTAATTTTGGTAATTAAATTTAGGTTTTGTGTTTTGTGTATTTCTTTTTAATCAATGATAATTAAGGTTGATGATAAATGATAATTGGGTGTAGAAGATAATAATTTACCTCAGTCACCACACACTTCATGCTATATTTACCCCAGGACATTCAATTCAGTTTTATTTATATAGTGCTAAGTCCCAACGTAATGCTGTAAGTATGGTAGGGATGCTTTTTAAGATTGTTAACAGGGAAGCTATTGTTAGGATAGGAACATTTGTATTATTCTGTTTAATTTTACAAGTCCACCTCACATGGAAGGATTATTGCTTGTTGTTTCTATGCTGCTCATAAGGTAGAATACTCTAAATATTTCTGGTTCACTGATACACTGATCCTATTGCTGTAACCAGCCTCACCCATTCACTTCTAACCACAGTTAGCTCAGGCATTGATTTAAGGGACTCTTGCTTCTTGCCGGAAGGTATGCAAGGGCTGGATGTGGCAAAGCTTAACATCACAGTGTTGGGATTTTTAACTGTTTTTCCTGTCTTCATCCCTCCACAGTTCCTGGGGTAATTGTAACCATCTATATTTATGCACATTATTTTTCAATGTAAATGCAGACATACACATTTGCAAGACCATAAATCATGCTGCACAAATTCTTCAGTGACTCTTACGATTGATCGATTTCAGTACAATTATATGCACATGAATTTCTTTAATACGCTGATTTGCAGTGTTGAAGTAACACAAGTGCTGACATTTTCAGTGTATATTCTGTCATAATTGATCTTAAAAAGGGTTCAGGAATAAACATATAATTATTAGTTATTAACATCAGACTTCCACAGTGTGTCTTATATCCTGTCTTCCATCATTCTCCCCCAACCAATCACAGCAGATGGCCCCGCCCCTCCCTGAGACTGGTTCAGCTGGAGGTTTCTTCCTGTTAAAAGGGAGTTTTTCCTTCCCACTGTCACCAAGTGCTGCTCAAAGGGGGTCTTTTCTGTACTATTCTAGGGTCTCTACCTTACAGTATAAAGCCTCCTTGAAGCAACTGTTGTTGTGTTTTCTGCTATATTAATAAAACTGAATTGAATTAATTATTGTGATTGTGTAATTATGACTTTAATTTAAACAAATAGCTACAAAATAAAGGTCAGTTTTCAACACACAGTGTAACAGTATATGTAGATGGTATATTAGTAAACACTTATCGCATTGCCAGATACCAGTGCAGCATTCAGTACTGTCAACTCATATTTTATCACAGAGATCAGAACAGAATCTGGATGGACGGATGTATGGATAGATTAGAACATGTCCGTCCATCCATCCATCCATCCATCCATCCATCCATCCATCCGTCCATC